TAACAATATTTTGGCTAATGAGCGCGGTTGAAGTTCGCCCGCGAACCAACACAAAGACAATGAGTAAAATTATCGACCGGCATAAATGCGGTAAAACTGAACTACATATTCTATTATTATAATAATAATATAACGTACTGCGCGTCCCGGACCGGATAAATTTAGCGGGTTTTCGGGGGTTTGCGTATATAATAGCACCTAGACGGAAGGTCCACCGCCGGAATGGTTCCCCGATGGTTTTTATGTCATACACTATATTATATGAGCGGGGGGCCACGCCTTTTGCGATTTGTGACTAGACATTACGACTTCCCGTATAAAGTTTTTTCGAGAGCGAAAACCTTTTATATTATATATAAGAAATTCGCCATCGCGCGTATTAAGTATATATATATATTGCGGCTCGGTGTGAGAAAATAATGTTCTGAGACGTTTTAGCGCGAACATTTTTTTTTTTTTTTTTATTTTATTTCTTTTCCCTCCGTACAATAGCGTTGAAATATATTGCATTAAACTTTCAAGGCGGAAAAAAGGGAAAAAATAGAAAAATATTATACTCTCGCGTATATACATATATATGCATGTGCCGTGTATATACGTATATACATATATATATAGGTATATACACGCACGTGCGCTATGCACATTTAATTATACGACGAAATGAGTACGATGACAAAACGAAAAAAGAGAATAATAAATCGGACGCATTATAGTATACGGACTCCTACAAAGTTTAAAATTATAAACGTTATTTTTATTTTCGCTATAAAAATAAAGACGTCCCGCGAGGATTTATTATGTTTTATTAAAAAAAAGCGGTGCGGCGGCGTTTACAGAAATTGACAATGTTTTATTATTATAAAGGGGATACGGTAATTTGAGAAAAAAAAAAAAAAAAAAAAAAAACAGCAGAGCCCTGTCACCAGAGTCGGAATTCCCCCTTACCTGTTTTGTTTTACAGAAATATTATTTGCAAAACAATAAGTAATCGAATACTATACGAATACCGGAACAGGCTTCAACTTTAATACTAAAACCATTTATTATTATAGTGTATAATAATAATTCGTCCAAATAATTGTGACATTTTTAGCATAAAAAACGGTTGGGAAGGAGGTTGAAATTTGAAACACCTGAAAGGTACATGTTTAATGCTGTTGTCGTGGATATACAAAATTTCATCCCCTTGACTCCATTAGTGAGCCTGGAAGGGTGTTCAAAGTCAAAACAATACGCTCTCCTATTGCAAAAACATAGCGAAATATTCAAATTGAAATTATTCAACTCGACTTTTATCACTTTATCAATCTGCCTACAAAACAACTTTAATTTCCTATTCCGAGCTCATTTGGTCCCGAGGGAACCGCTAAAAATTTCCAAAAATGATAAATACTCATTATATAACAGACGTAATTCTTTATTTTAGGGGAAAATTAAAAAAAAAAAAATACTATGCTGCGTGTTTCGTTATTCGCATTTGAATAATAGCTTCAGTATCGCCTGCACCGTTCTCAAACAATGTTTTTTTTCGCAGTCTCCCAAAACCAGACATTTCGGACACTACAATTTTTAATCTGAAAAATTAAAAGGTGATAATTTAACGACTAACAGCAATTGTATTAACTGTAAGCTGTTATTTTTTACGCGGCGCGCGATCCGAATACTGCACATAGGTAGGTTAGGTACCTACCAATCTAAATATTGTTTTAAATAATGCATAACGAAATAATATTTGCGCACCTTCGTCAAACACAACCATGACGTTCGTTTTGTTTTATAATATAGGAAATATGCAGGAACCCCGCAGCAGTTGTTTTACAAAATATTGATTGAATTCCAATCCATATGTGCTCTACATATTATACGCACACATACATACATTTAGAATTTGTCAAGCACTAAGCACATAGGTATACACATAGATGTGTAGGTAAAACATTATTATTATTCAAGGATACGCACACGTGTCATGAATTTTAAAATATTTATAATTTGAAAATATAATAATACATACTCGAGGTTTTTTCCTATACGTAAATACATGTACCTATGTAAATGTCACAAAAACGCTATCGTTATGTTAACACACCCAATTAAACGTGTTGTCATATATAAGCATTAAATTCTACAGCTACACCGTATACGCGGTATGAGTGTGTACAAAATCAATAAGGAATTTTAATTCTAAAGTTGACTGAGAATTAGTATACAGCATTATCGTTTAAACGGCTCCTGCAAAGGTCTTTATACATATATCTAATAATGTATGCGTTTGCATACTAGATATTAATATATTATACCGTGCACACTGATAGAGTCACACTTCCAATGATGTAGCTCCTGCCCTTACTCTAAAAATTGAATTCTTAAGCCAAGTCATATGGTTTCAGACGTTTAAGACACCCGATGTCCTTGAAATTGTCTAATAATCGGATGGCCATTGGATTGACATTATGATCCGGCCGCGCTCGTGTTTGCCAGCAAACTTATTGATTTCGCCGGCTATTGTAGGAATCGCCATCATATCGCTGTAAATTGGTTCTTTTCTTTCAAACCGGTATGCTGAAGTGATGGTCCAAAGGGCGATGTTTTGACAGCGTTGTGTTACATTACTGTTAGACTTGTTGACACAACCCCACAGTTGGATTTTATAGGTCCGAATCAGTTTTATAATAGCTACATAGAGTAGACGTTTATTTTGTATAGTTAACTCGGAGTGAGTTCCGACTAACCAATAGAGCTTTTTCTCATGACGGTCAGTCAAGTATGCTTCAGGAAGTGCACACCAAGTATGTGACAGTTGTTCAAGCTTTTTCAAGTTTTATGAAAAATCCGTTTAGCTTGATTTTATTAAAAGCCTGAGTTACGTCAAGGAAAATTCCGCAGTAATACTTCTTTTCTTCAAGAACTTTACTTATCACGTTAGTGACGCGATGAACATGATCGATTGCCGAATGTTTGTTGCGGAATCCAAAGTGATGTTACGGTATAAGATTTTTTATTTTTATAATTGATTTTAGACGTTTAAATAGAAGTTTCTCTAAAAGTCAATACAAACTTGTAAGCAATGATATCGGTAAATATGATGTGAAATCTTCCGGTGGTTTTCCCGGTCTGAGCAACACGATCACTTGTGTCCGTTTCCACTGTTCTGGAACGTATTCCATACGTAAAATAGCATGTGTGCGTAAGATGACCTTTTTTGGAAGCTTTTTAAATATTTTTGCATTTTTCTCATCATAGCCGTGTGAATTTTTGGGTTTAAGTTGTTATCTGTCTCGTATTTCTTTGACAACTTCTAATGGAGTGAAATGTTTAATTTTTTCTTGTGTTGCATTAAGCTTTTGGCATTACGCAATGTCAAGCTCAGTGTCAATGGAGTTTGATAGAAAAACACATTTTAGGTGCCGAGCATATATTTCGGCTTTATCTTGTTCAGCTACCAAATCAAATGAAACTCAAATGATTCTAATAAATGATACACATCCATAAATATATGTAAATTTTTCGCCAGTTGTTACTTTATTTAAAACATTTTTCTAGATTCCTAACGGTTTTCTTTAAAAATTGACAACAAAACATGATATTTTAGTTTTACTTTTGTTGATTTTAGAGTTATCTTGGCTACAATAAGGAGAATGAACACGATCAATATACTATAACTTTCTTAGTTTACCGAGCTCTGTACAGAATAGTTTTTTTTTGTTTGAAATGATGTGTCGTTGCTTTCTGTATGTAAACTAAATTTTCCATTTAATATCCTATACTTTCCTAACATCCCAACATTCAATCTATAGTTGTAGATCCGGTTATTTTTTTTATACTATATATTTTTTAATTGTAGCTGTATACTCGTGTTATATTTTTGAATGCTTCTATTAAATTGCTGCAACGTCTTTTATTCGTGTAATGACTATTACGTGACCGTCAAAATGACGTCAGTAATCGAAAAATCTAAACAACACACTTTAAATTTGTCACGTAACCTGCGATGAAAATAAATTGACATTTTAACAATGACGCCGAGGAGTGCGGTTCAATTATAACGGAACGAATAAAAGACGTGCACGAGGACTGTTATTCACATATATAATAATATAATATTGTAATATGTGTCGGTTATAAATGCGATTAAATCATATTTATAATAATATTATTGACGTGTGGTACCTAATTAATGTACTATAAATAAATTCATTTTCTGCGTGGAATCGCAGAAATCGTTACAAATATTGTCGAATAACCATCATAAACTTTGAAAAAAATTATTCTTGGTTTGTGTTCAAGACTAATAGGAATGCATATTATTTTCATAAGGATTTTATTCCAATCAGCCTATTGAAGGCGAAACGACGAGGTTAAAAATAAAATCATATTGTTCAATATTACAATTGATCTTCCGTTTCATTGTTTCTAATTGGGTAACAAATAACATTTCTAAAAATGTAAATTGGTTAAATATTATGTTAAAATTATCATAGGTTTCGTCGGTTTTGTTATGAAAAAGAAAAAAAAAACTATCGCATATAGGAAGTTGGAATAAAGAATATAAAATAACACAATGAAAGCGGTATTAAATCAAAAAACGAATCTGTGTGGAACTCGGTTAATTGTTCAAGTTAGCTGAAAACTACGCAGAGACTTATTTATAATTTTAGGGTCTTTTTATAAAAACACATTTGTTTTCGAGCTGCGCACGTTAGGCTTTATAATACATTTTTTAGGTTAGTGGCTTTTTAGGTTTTTTGCTAATGTAAATTTCGGTAATGGTTGATATTTAAAAAAACTGCTATTTTACTGTGTTAAACGATTATGATGCTTCGTTGAAATGTGGCACCCTGGGCCAATGCCTCTTAACTTACCCTAAATACGTACCTGAAACTGCATAGCTTTCCCCGTTTAATGAAGGGAACCAGAAATAAACAAAATGCTGAAATTCAAGAGCGAGTCCCCATATAGAAATTAAATTTATAAAATCTGGCTTTGATGTTGTTGGTTTAAGTTCGAAATTTCAAATCACCACGTGCAATAGAATTTGTCCAAAAGCAATGTTACGTTTTTATTGTTGAATTATTAAAATTTTTTTAGAAAATCTTGAAAAACGTTAAAACGAATCACACCTTTTATTGTACTATGTGAATGTTTTGGAGTATTTTTTTTACCAAAAAAGGGTTTTTCGAGAAAAACATTTTATATGGAATACACTCCAGGGTTCATAATTTAAAAACAATAAAAATATGCAATATGAAGATATTATTTTTCTCGCAAATTGAATAATTAATTGATATTATAGCTTCTGATTAATTTTCCGTTAACAAATGGTCTGGTTGGGTACTTTTAGAAAGACACGACAACATAAATCTAAAAATAAAAACAGATTGGTATTCATTACTTCAAAAATAATAGATTTGACACAAATTTTACTCACAAGTATAACATTAAAATGAATGTTTCAAGTATAGATGATAAAAATAAAAAACAATTTGCAAAATTGTCTATAGTCATATTATATAGTGTCGTGTATATTGGAGTACCAAGTAATATTCCAAAATCTTCCATAACATTGATGAAAGCGTATATTTTACCTGAAAATATAAAGTTAATGTGCGAATAATGGTTCATAAATTATACTAATTATAATGTATTACCCAAGTCTTCGGATGGAAAAATCTTCGACAGTTGAGAACGAACTAACGTTTCGCTGGAATAAATCAAAGAACCAACAATTTGTACTACATAAAAATTCCACCCGTACACAGAATATGCTAAACCAATTTTGTGTATAATTTTAAATCCAGTTGAAGTAATAGCTAGATGTATGTCAGATATTTTTAATTTGGTACTAAACACGTATAAACTGATTGCTGGTAATAAAGCTGAAATAATTAAATAATATAATAACAAGCAAACAAATAATAATACAATTTACTTGCAGGTATTTATATACAATTTTATTTTTTGATAACAATTTGAAACAATTTGTTGTTATTTATTTTATTTTTTTCATAATTTTTTTATTAATTCTATAGAATAGGTATAATCATAACAAAAGGACATACCACTTATTAATGTTGAGTATGCATTAAATAAAGTATAATTTTCTAATGTCCACGAAAACTGTTTTTGTAGATACAAATATATAATAGAAAGTTCTCCTAAAACACAATACAAAATACATATTTAAAAATATTATGTACTTCAGTAGACAGTATTTTACAATAAGATTAAACACACCGTTAAATTGTATAATTATGTGTGTTTTTCAGTTATTTTTTAGAATATTTTGGAAAAAATATAAGTACTAAACTTACCAAAGACATCGATAATGTCAATAGTTATAATCATAACTGATATTAAAATTATACATCTCAAATAGCCAAAACGTGGCTTCAAAACTGTTTGCCATGTATCTCTTACAAGATTTAACCGGAAAAGGTTTTTATTGACATCCTGTTAAGAAATAAACCTAAGTTTAATAACTAATAGGTAACTTCAATAATTAAGGCTACGTGTAAACTCTTACAAAAATGACCTTTTTACCTGAATTTAAGAATTAGTGTAAACTCCTACAATGTCGCTTTTGGCCTGCCCAAAATAGATGGTATAATCTTCTACACAGACCTTTTTACATTTTAGATTCTGAGTGTAGCGAGCGATTTATAATGGTTTTACAATAATGTTTGTTTGAGATGATTGTACTTAAGTGGGAATAACTGTACGATTTTACGATTTCACTATTTTAAATGAACACGCACGACATTTTATATCAGAAATAGTTTTCTAATGGAAAAATTATTGCATCTGACTTTGAATTTTCCATTCATAATGCAATTAGAAATATTTGGCCAACAGCGTAAATTAGTGGTCGCAATTTTCATTGGTGCTAAAATTGGTACAGACAAATCCAACAATTAGGCCTTACAAATCACTAAAGAAATAATGAATCTGAAATTGGAATATGCTTAGTACATACTTTTGGTTTACCGTTCTGGAATGTCAATGATATTAAAAGTTTTTTATATTCGATTTATTAGAAAATAAACCATAATTTTAACCAAAATTTATTTGTAAACGTTTTATTAAATATACAGACGAAAACTTACGTAAAAATTAGAAGCGGTGACGTAACAGGACTTAGGCGGACAAAAATAATTTTAAAATATGAGTACATAAATAAGCAAAAAAAGAAAATACAAAAAAAGGAAAAATTTCACGGTATGATTTTATTAAAAATATGTGTTATAAAAATAAACGTAAATAAATATTTGTTTATGACTTTATTGTTGATTTTTGATATTTTAAATTTATTTTTATTTAAAAAATGTTTATTATAATATTTTTATTTTGATTTTTGTAATTTATGATTGATTTTTATTTATTTTAAAATATCTTATTTTATGATTTTATGTTTTTTGTAGGAGTTTACATTATCTTTTGTAGGAGTTAACACTGTGTCAATGTAGGAGATTACCTTCTTTTGTAGAAGTTTACCATATCCCATAACTAAATATGTAAATCCGGTTTTAAAAGAACCTTTTTTTTTTTACAATACTAAATCCTGAATGCAGAAATCGGTTTTAGGAGTTCATATAGTTAAGATCAGTTTTATATTATTTATTATTGCATTGCATCAAACCGAAAAATGTATAACAAATCATCGTATGCACGTATATAGTACACCATTAGTATTATTATAGCGTTTACTTAGATACTCATGTTACTATCTAAACGTCTATTAAATGAACGTTTAAAGAACCACACTAAAAAGGAATATTACAAGCAGAAAAAAAAGGCTGAGTTTTTACTAAATTATTATTAAATAAATCAAATACAAAAACTTTAAATATTTTTATTTGAAAAAATAAATATTTACCTCTTTGATGACAATTGTTTCTTTGAGATAAATTGATGTATAAAGAAGTCCTGCTGTTGCACAAATCGATGATGTTGTAAAAGCATATGTGTATGATTTATTACATAGATACGGACTCATAATTGATCCGAGAATCGACCCAAAAGCTGTACATGATTGCAATACTCCGAATCTAAAAGTAAATGATGTTTAACTCTAGTAACACATATAAGGTTAAACAGTTTAATGTAGGATGTCAATCAAGTTGGCACTGACACATTATGATAGGACTATACAACTATTATCAGCATTTTGCTAGAAATTCGCTAGATTTTGGTAGGGCATTTTTGGATTTTGCTTTGGTTACTAAGCTTCGGAAATCTACAAACAAACGTGCTGGGGCTATTGCTTCGTGGCTGTTCCGAAACGTTGTCCGATTCCAAAAAAAATATGTCAATTTATTCAGGTGAATTTGCTTGATTTTGTTAGGGCAATTTCGGTTAGGACACCTGTCATCTCTGGTGGGAAATTTCAAATTTGGCATCAGCACTGGCACATTATTGATACACCTTTGTATTAGTATAACTCAAAAATAAGTATGATATCATATGAAAAACAAAAGCCTTAAACTTTTAAATTTTGAAACCTGTTTGAAGTATGTAATAAATAAAATTAGGTATACATTTTTACTTTATTTATGTTTTTGTAATTGAACGTATAAAAACTCGATATTTTTGAGCACAAGAAAAACTGAATTCGTTATAATTACTGGCAATCATACTATCAAAACAATTAAGTAGAAGTTATAACATTTAAAGACACTATTGGTGACTTACAAAACAAAAAAAAAAACCAAGTAACAAAATAAACAATTAACTTTTTTAAAGAAAAGTTCTTATATTGGGGACGGGAGCGGCCACTGTTGTAGGTAGGAAGTTGGAAAGGTAAAATATATAAAATTGTTTAATTTATGTCGGTAAGCAAAGATAAACCATTGCTAACGAAAAACGATTCGGAGTGAAGTGCGTTAGGACATATTTTGAAATACATAATTTTTACGATTTTCGTCAAAATTTGATTTTGAAAAATTTATAAAAAAAAACTATTACATCAAACTCAAATATGTTTTTTATACTACTAAGTAAAACTTATAATTTACCCCGTGTTAAATTTTAAAGCATTATTCTGAAGTTATATAATTTTAATAACAGATATCAAATAAAAATACATATAAAATGCTTATGAATAGCCTTAAAAAGGTTAAAACATTTTTAAAATTTCATCACGTACGCAAAAGGCCAATATCAGAATTTTTCGAAAACGACAGATCTTTGCAATTATTTTTTAACCGAATGACAACAAAAAAACCAAACGCCGCAGAGTTTGCCGTATTTCATTCGTTTTTTCCCTGTTTTTTGTAATTATTAGGAAAACTATGCGGAAAATCAAACAACAAATTTATAATGATAAAAAAATATAATATAATCTTAAACATTTCAAATAATGAAATATCTTTGGACTGTAATTTGAAAAGAAAAATCATATTTTTTTAGTTTTCCCAATTATTATGAAAACTTCTTTATAGATAAAAAAATAAATAACTTTGTTAGTGGTTATATATCAAAAAGAACACAATCATTTTTTTTTCATTTTTCGATTAGAGCAATATATCTAGTAGAAAACATAGTTAGCAACTATTAAAAACAATGAAATCGGTAACGCCGCGGCCGCGACTCGCCGTTTTACCTATACAATTTTCTTTCGGGTTTTTCCCAATTATTTTGAAAACAGCTTAGAAAATCGAAAACTAAACTCCTTAATGCACCAACATTCGCTTTCAGTAAAGGAACTACACTCTATACATTTGAGTAACATTTCTGGTAGAAAAGTCGTTTGCAGACAGAAAATAAAAATTAAAAAAAAAAAAACACATCATAGTAAAACCAATAGATCTCTCGCTATGCTCTGAATCTAAATGTTGTTGTAGTTTACAGATTACACTTATATTTGGTGTAGTCCACCTCAAATATATTGCTGCTTTTTTTCAAATGTTTGCCAATCTTTTTTTATTTAAAAAGAGCCAGAGTAGCGCACACGTTTTCTATTTCTTTAAATCATATACTGGCAACGTAAATATGAAACGTACATACTATCCCATATTAACATTTACGATAGACCATTAGGTATTACAAACAGCAACTTACTATTACATTACTAAAACCAAAACGAACTAATTTATACAGAACATAGATAAAGCCTATAATATGTTCTAGAAGTTGAAACAATTAGTGTTCCTTGAATGCAGAACTATTAAAATTTGTTTTAAGAAGACGTTACACATGCATTTGTTGTTTCTGTCTTACAAACACGAGATATATTAAAAACACGCTTACGTAGACTACACAGTGACTAAACTGGCTTGGTTTTAGTTTTAGAATAAAAACGGATATTATGAAATCATAATAAAGAACAATATTCCGGAGGACAAGGCGTTAAGTATTTTTCCATTTTCTTCGAATATAACAGTAAATTTACTGTTTATAAATAACAACTTTTTCAACGTATTTTTAATTAGTTAAAACTTTAAAAAAAAAAAAAAAATAATTTTTTCAAGAAAAACGCAACGTCTTGCTCTCCGGAATATTGTTCTCTATTAATTTCATAATAGGTACTTTTACTCTAAAACCAAAATTAAGTAAGTTCTATGTAGTCTGCATGAGCATGTTTCAACTATGTCGTACGTTTATAAGACGAAAACAACAAACGCGTGTGTACCGTCCTCTCAAAGGTTACAGAGTGTTTCAAAGAGTGAAAATCTTTAAACGACGTCCAAGATGTTGCATTTTTGCCCAAATGCCGCATTTATGAATGTTAAAAATTTAATGGGTAATGAGTATGCATTCACGATAAAATGGTATTTTATAGAGACATTCTAGAGCACACAAAGATTGGAATCAAATTAGATTAAAATATGTTTTATGTTAATCGAACGTTATTATTTATACAGTTTAATTATATTTGATATTTGATTATATAAATAGGTATTAAAAGTATCATGGCGATTTTAGTTTTTAATTGAATGTTGGTTACCTAAACGCTCTTGTTTGTACGTCAGTTATATCGACAATATAACAATATGCAGCGAGATATAATACTGCGCGGCCACCGCTTAAGGCAATAGGTAAACTGCACACCAAAAAAAATATTGGTGATAATTCAGGCATAGCAGAAATAACACAGTACATACAGTTAGATAACACGATTCCTTTAATTTGAAATTGTTATAATTTTAATTAATATTAAAATTACATTATTTTGTATATTAAAATTCAAACCTGATATTGTTACTATAAATAATGGTAAACGGCCGTTTATATCGCTCCACGATCCTAAAAATAATGCGCTTATACTTGGTGATAATGTTTCAATCAAATTTGCAAACATTTGCAATTTGGCAACATCCGGTTGAACTGTTCTTTTTTCGGCGTTAGTCATATTGTAACAGTTTACAGATTTATTTTTCCCCAATGAAGTATGTAAACACACGCGTTCTTCAAACAGATTTGTTTGTATCATCACTACAGAATTATAACATATTTAATTTAACACTAAATATATCCAAAATGTGTTAGCTGAAAATGTACATTGTACCTGTGAATGTAAGCGTGTGTTTTGAATATAAAATGAAATACAGTAAAATATATGCTATTTATATTTAATGAATTTGTCTCAATAATAACAAAAAAAAAATAATAATAAAAATACGATACGCCTAAGTTATTAGCAATATTTTCCCAGGGAGAAACGAGTCAATTATGCCCTCATTTACATAACTTATACAGATTTAGAAAGGAACTAGTTCAATTTCAGACAGAAATCATTTAACAATATGTTATTAAAAATTTCAAAATATCTTAATAAAATGAGTAATACGACTCTATTATGCACTGTGTTCAGTACTCACGGTTTATTTTCACTCCGATTAGTATTAATATCATGATGGGTTCTAATGTCAGTCTGAATTTGTTCTTTACATTGGTTGTAGGTACTGACAATTCATTGTCTATTGTTGGCTCCTGAATGCTGCTCGTTGCTAAGGCCATTTTCTTCCCGCGTACTGTGGCGTAATTACTAAGGCTGGAAATTAATGATTCAATAAGTTAATTACATTTTGTAGATTAACTCACTAGTTTGCTATTTTAATTGACTAAACTCATTTGTCTCTACGTTAACTTGAAATCAACTTACATTTTTTTTTTATTATTATTTCCAATTAAGTTAATCTTGAATTTTAATATTATCCAGAAAAATATTTCATTTATTACCGTTGTCCGTTTAAAATATTAGAAGTTCGTAGATTTAAAAATAACTAAAATGTAAAAAAATCAAATATTATTATAAAAAAAAAAAAATAATAAGATAGGTAATATGTTAACAAAGAATTTAATTTTTATATTTACATAAGTATAAAAACTAATTTATCATAAAATAAAGACATAAATAGTCACTAGTCCACGAATTATATTCATAATACCTACTTGAGTACTCCTATTGTACCTATTCGTTGTTAAAATTTAATAGATATTTCGAATAAATGTTTATAACTAATATGTAGTTTTTTGTACTTCTTGGTTTAAGTTATTTATTTTGTAAAATAATACAGTATCCACTTTTACACTCAAATTCAAATTTAAGTGATCTCTAATTTCTTCGAGTAATCCCTGAGTTTGAATTATAATAATTATTATTATTAATTATGAGTTCTATAATTAATGTTACAACTCCAAAGATTTCAAAATACTTATATACATAGGTAATATTTCAAATTTACATTCAATTCAATTTTTAATTCTTAATCAATGCATTTTTTTTTAAATTAGCATAATTTATCAGTTGAAGTTAAGTTAATGGTATATTTTAACTTAATATTATTAACTTAATCAACGTATTCAAAATATCTATTTATTAAATTTTTAATTTAATTGAAAACAAATATATTTAACTTAATTAAGTTAAAAAAAAATCATTAACTTACTTAGCCTTGGTAATTACCGATCAAACATGTGTATCGGACGTTATTTTATCGTAGCATCAACACGTTATAACATTATATTTACTCACGGTTTTCGTTTTTATTGTGATACGAGTTGTTTACAGAAGTCGAAACTTTCTTGGTACCTATATTATGTGAACAACGTTGCAGTTTATAAATATTTGATTATTTTTTTATGTATGTGATTTAAATTGTTACGAAACACCAGAACTATAAAATTAGCATTCTATATTCGATTATCATGGCCTTCAAATTGATACGGAGTTTATATCAATTTGAATGGCCGTTTCCAGAATTTGTACGACATTAGTGTTTGGCTCACAATCAAAAACCCGCGGTAAAGAAAAATTTTCTCATTACTCTTTTCCCCCTGTAATGTCTAGATACGAATATGGTTATTCGGACCCTATAGAAAGGTTGTACGAATTCGCAAAATGGTCACACAAATTATACACAAAATGATGGGAGGGGGGGCAGAAAAAAAATCATGGTATTCGAATGGTGGATCGCTGAGAAAATATATGCGTTTTTGCTACGAAAATATTTTGATGGTGATATTGCGATCACTGACAAGAGCGGGCGTCTTCAGACCTTGGAAATGAGATGGGGGGGGGGGGGTAAAATAATTAAATTCAATATTAACGATCGCTACGAAAAAAAAACGATGTCAAAAAGTATATTGATTATATCTACTTCTGGACCAATGGCCAAATGTTAATGCAAGTCCACTTCTCCCGGGGGGTGGGGATCGCCTCATAAGAACGCCCCCCCCTGATCACCGATCACTAAGAATAATATAGATATACAATGAGATTCGAATAACATAATTATTTTGCGATACAGACGTGTGCGTCCAATTGGCCGAGTAATACTTTTACGTTTTGTGTATACCATGAATACACGAATGGGCCGAAAAATAAAAAGCCTGCAATCGCTCGGAATCGAAAATAATTATACTAGATACCTATTTCAAAATTAAAATCTGGGACCTTGATGCTGTTATATATTATACAGGCACTGTCGAGGTCTCGCATTACAGCACACGTCGGATGCATTCGATTTTTCACTACCGTACCCGTACTGTACAATGTACAGGTACGTTACATGTACAGTTGACGATAATATTTTCACACCTATACGCGTCGGGGGACATATTATTATAATATTATATACAAATGTAAATTCACCGTAAAAACCAGCGGGCAATTTTCGCTCGTATGTGCAGTGGCAGAATACAAAATAACACATTGTTATTATTGTTATACCCGTTTCTTTTTTTTTTTTTTTTTTTTTTTTTTTTTATAAATAAAATTGAATATTTCAAATCGGTCGCTGTGAAATCGCGCGGAAAACATTGTCGCGCATACACGGATGACAGGTATGATGATACGCAGCACAGTCTTCTGATAGTGTACGTTACCGGGAGGACGGGGAAACAAAAATAATACGTTATAAAAACCGTGTTTCCGGGCTCAAGGTCATCGCCCCACACGGAGAATGCGGGTCAAACGATAACCTAGCTGGCATATTATTATGGTCAGCGACGAGAAAGCACGACAATAATGAAAAAACAACAACCTGCAGCTGAATCGAAATTTTTGTCGTGTATAAAAACACAACAGAACGAACTGTATATACGCGTCGTCGTCGTTAAACAAGACCCTTAGAAAATATCTGTGTACCGGAATAATATAACGGGCAAAAACGTGTACGGCGGTGGTATGTATACAGCGTGTGTTTCACTCAAACGGCGGTACGAAATAATACTTCAGGCCGGTCGGAGTCAGCTTGCGGTATTTTTTTTTTTTTTTTACAAAAACGGTGCTTGAACCGAAGTAGACATTATTTTATTTATTTGTTTACTAACGATTAACGGACGGTGTCCTTTGAATACATTTGTGTGTAAGCGACAATAACAGGTATATAATATTATGCTGTAGACATAATGATAAAATAATAACCTTAACCGAAAAACAACATTTTTTTTCTCGTTTTCGTTTGTGTAAGTGGTTGTTAAATTGGAGAATATGAAAGGATGCGGGAATCGTGTGACGTATGCAATACAATTCACGTTTTCCTAAATAAATACACGTATACGCTATGTTTAGCTTCAAATTTGAATTGTTTTGTTTTGTTCAAGCGATTTGGATTATTTTTCCATCTCAGAAATTACCTTAGATATATACGATTGTATATATAATACCTAAGGTTTAATGAAAAAAAATGTGATGTTTTCACGGTTTTTCAAAAAAATATAAAAAGCACGACTCTAAAAGTGTAGAAACGTGACTAAACTGTTTTATTTGAAATGAGAAAAATCATATGTATAACGATAATCGTAAAATTGCCCACACATCATACATCGCACATAGATACACGGTGACAATAATCGAGAGACAAAAATCGTTTTTTTTTTTTTTTTTTTTTATTAGACTAGATTTTAAATCTCGGATTATGTTTGAGATGTGCAATTGAATCGATTAAAATCGCTTGAAAAAAGGAATATTCGAACCTGATTCTGTAATAAAAATAAACGACGTTTCCGTTTAAGGAAATGTGCGTTTTATTATAGGTACGTACGTGCGGGAGGGGCACCGAAAAGATTAACATTTTGAATATCAACTCAAAATGTGCATTTTATCCCTTACCTTCTTAAAAAATAACCCATTCTGTCCTACAAAAGTGGGCAATAAGTTAAACAATTTTATTAACTGTTTTAAGTTTAAAAATTATCTTAAAATAAAAACAACGAACCTAAGTTAGAGTTTAATATAACTTAAGTGACTAGTACGTTAAGTTAAACATTTTCTGGAATACCAAAACTTATATAAGATTTAAAAATTATCCTTTACTAATAATCGTAGGTATATTATCAACCAGACATATACACTATACAGACTATATTATTCTATTATACAAGGCTCATGTGACCCATAGCCTATAAGACGTAAAAATGCGTGATTTGCATGGAAAAATAAATGCAAAAACAGTTACGCGGGGCTTATATTATTATTATTTTTTTTTTCACAAAAAATGCGTAAATAACTTAAATTTTTAAAAAAAAAAAAAAAAAAACAATTAAGTTAAGTTAATATTGTCGNTTTTTTTTTTTTTTTTTTCACAAAAAATGCGTAAATAACTTAAATTTTTTTAAAAAAAAAAAAAAAACAATTAAGTTAAGTTAATATTGTCGAAAGTGATAAAAAAAATGTAACGTACCTATTAGATAACTTAACTTTTAACACATTGACTAGTTACTGCCCAGCTCGGCCGTTCTACACGTCTATCCGATTTGGTGTTACAGTTCTTGTGAAACACAAACACGCCGTATATAATAATATCATTGCGCTTTTCTTTTATTTTTACAATTTCTATATTTTTTTTTTTTATCCATTATTCGAGCCTTCGTATTATTATTATAAGCTGTGTCATTATATTTTATTATAATACCACGCACTGTTTCTTTACACATCAGCGGCGTCTGCAGTAGGTTTAGTATTATACACACCACACACCAGACTAAATTATTGTATTGAATTTTACGTCTTTCATTAGGCCATTGTATGATTATTATTATTATTTTTCACCTACACGGTGTTTTTTTCTACACCAGTCTGCGGAGGTTTTTTTTTTTTTTTTTGATTGATAAGCACACAGGCGTTTCTTTGTTCCGGGGATAAAATATGAAACTCGCGTAACATTATTTTATGTATATACCTATAGCTAGTAAAAAAAAAGTAAAACTTTTTTTTAAGCTTTACAATATCAGTTCGTACCCACCTAAATACCATGTGTGTACCGTCGGAAATTATTAATAATATACACGATACATTTATTAGTATCTATTTTGATAATATTTTGGATCGTGTGTAAATTAATGATTACAATATTATTACTGACTCGGGCGCGCGGTTATGTTAAGTTAGTTGACAACGAAAAAAAAAGCTGACCAGTGAATTATCGTTTTATTAATCGACCGAGTCAAGTCAAAAGTTAACGTGAAAATTCAATTAACTTAAATTTGAATAGCTTGAATTAGACTACAACTTTATTTTATGTTTTTTTGTAAAATTATTATTGCCGACCGGGATTAAGGCACGTGCAGTGTACCTACAGTGTATAGCGCTCGACCGAAAATGGTTGGATTCGCCGGACAAAACCGGCGTACGCTAGTATGTGTGTGTGTGTGTGTGTGTGCGCGCGCGCGCGCGTGTGTGTTTGTAATCAGTAATTACGGTTGTTTATTACCGGTAATAATTGAATTAGAGAAAATTATCCTTTTTGTCCAACAATAATATGTGAACTTAAGAGTGGTCCTTGTTTTTGAACATTATTATTTTTGATAACCGATCCCCCTTATTTTGTTCCTTAAAAGGTTGAAAATGAAGAAATAGAATAGTTTTGCGGTTTTTCGCAAATTATTTAGACATTGAGAAGAGCTACCGAAAATTCTTATGTCATTTTATGATCAGTGATATAGTTATTTAATTAGTTGCGAAAAACCACAAAACTATTCTATTTCCTCGTTTTCAACCCTCTTGGGGCACGGGAAGGGGGTGAGTTATCATCACCAAATTTCACACAGATTACTTTTATACGGCAAGTAACAATATAGAGGGGATCAGTCGTCAAAAATAAGGACCAGCCTAGACTAAACATACTTATCCGCAGTAACGGCAACCTATCAGTTGGCGGACACACTGTAACAAAATAATATATAACAGCTATAATAATAAATGACGAATGATTTACTCACAGGATACAGAAACGTAAGTGCAGACTGGCCAACCGCTGGCTGAATCTGGTTTTACTTACACTTAGTGAGAAAACATAATTGCACCATATGTTATTTATCTGCAACATAAAAAATAATTTATCATGAATAGTACATACAAGCCATAGGTACTCCTAATTTAAAATTTAAAACAAAAATAAATATAATTTATAGTCCAAATTGCCTATTGAAACCTTTGTCATAAGATGCTGGTGGTGACTGTTGGAGCCGTTATTCAATTGGCTACGCGATAGAAAAAATTTATGGAAAAAAAATTATCACACTTTTTGTATACGGAATCGTGTGTGTGGTGGATAGAAAAAAAAATAGTATGATTTCGTTCTAGGTCATTATTTCCGCCAAAATGATAACAAAATATAGATTTTCGTTTCCGCCAAATTTTTTTCGATCTATCTACATCATAGTTAAAAAACATTCAGAGTTACCTAAGGGCCACCGTGGAAGTGACGGTTCTGATTGACTCCCAAAAATCGCCTTCCTCCTATTTTATTTTTTTATTATTAAATTAAACACAACTCTTATTATATAGATTTGTGTTTCGAATTTGATTAAAAATGTCTAAAAATTTCACAAATTAATATATTTTAATAATTATTTAGAATTGTTGCACATTTGTTTAAAAAATTGAATTCTAGAAATTGTTTTCTTTGTATATTCTTCAAGTGCGTTTGAAATAATAACGAATCATTTACGTGAATTTTAGTTTATATACGTTAATATCAAATGGTCTATCCCGAATTCTTAAATATTAATATTAAATTTTAATTTATGATTTTTGTAAAATTATCATTATTCGGCTGCGTATTTACGGGTTAAGGGGGATATTAGGAAGGTACGTCCGAGGGGTTACCCTTGTTCTTTTTTTAGTATCCATCTATTATTCACTATTTATAATTGCTTAAATTCAAATGTTTTTTAATTTTTAGTCGGAAAAAAACAAAAATGTATTTGTCCTTAAAGAACCATTATAATATAAAGGAGGTTTACACGATAGTGTAGAACGTGTATAGCTACGTGTAAATAAACCACTCAACAATAATTGCTCGTACTTATTAATTGATTACCAGTAATCGATAATACGAGCGCGTAGCGATTCGGTTTCAACTATAACTTTAATTACAGTAAATTAAGTTCTCGCCAAAATACGTAAATTGGACGTCTATCGTTTTTCCAAACTCCTTTACACATTACACGATATGACACAATTTACAAATCCGACGGTTCTGTCTCGGACACCGAACACGCCGCTAATTGCCATAGTGATAATATTATTGATAATGACTAAACCTATACCCAAGTCAATTATGCATTATGTACTTATTTCAAACCCGAAACCCCACGCTCGTTGAATGCACGGTTAAAATATTAACCCGCGCCTTTTTTACAGTTCGGACTCGTTACGATGCCCCCGGGCATTGAATATGGCGCCCGCTCGGATTCGACTCGAACACGTAAAATACGTTAGTCCGCGAGTTAAATGACGAATTCGACTCGTTCACTTGGATTATATTTCGGGAGTCGAGCAGGAAAATGATCATGGTGTGCGATATTATGTTCTACGCGTCACACTATGTTACGATCCCAACCTCGGAGATTACAAAAAACTCGTAACATTAAATAATCTCTCAACATAATAATATAATATAAAATATTATAAATTATAATACAATGTACAAATTCGTGTAATAATATGCGGTTATACCGTGTTACACAGTATTCGTGAATTATTAACACCGCAGCGCACCCCGGACGCGGACAATAGAATTAAAATTGTATCATTTTTTTTTTTTTTTTTTATTCGTGCGGGGTGGTCCGAGATGATGCGGAGATAATAAAAGTTTATTATTTATACGATGAATTGTCGCGATGAATTCAGAATTTAAAATCTCAAAAACGACCAGAGCCGTGCATTTATTTTCGTAGCGTATACAATATACATAAATATTATGCGCGCAGTCGTTGAAACATTTAAATCGTTTACTGTCAAAAAAAAAAAAAAAAAAAAAATGTACACGCGTTTACGTTCGGATCCTTTAAACAACAAATTATAACACAGACTGACATTGTTTTTTTTTGTTAATTTTCACGGACGGAATGTATATGAAAGAAAAAATAAACAAAAGGACGGACACGCTTCGCACGTGGGTGCACCAACTTGTGCGGGTGAGAAGTTGGGATAGACTCGATCATGTTTCCTGCGGCCGCTGTAACGGTACACGTCTACCGGCTTCTTTCATTTTAATAATAACAATAAAAAACGCAGTTCTCGAATCGCTGATTTCCCTTTTAAACACACTCCTGTCGATTTCAGGTCTCCGCCCCGTCCCGTGCCCCCCCCCCCTCTTTGCCGTCGGTCTATCCATCAATTACCACTCATCCGGCGTTGCACTAATAATTTATAATTGTCTTCTCGCGCGCGACCACACCGTATACAAGAGATTCTCCGGGCTTTTAAATAAAACACGTCGCACTGGAATCCATCACAACTCCGGCAACATTCTGTCGCGTCATCGTCTCTGCTGTGCACACTATACATAATCCCTGTTATTATTATTAACACCGCGTCATGTTTTACAAACTTTCCCTGCACAATAAGTCCTCGGTTTTCATTACGTTTTATTAAGCGTTCAGCCACTAGACACGCAAACCCTAACATAATATCGTATAATTATAAAGTATATGAGGTCCGGTCATTATGTATTATACACAATATTGTTTTTGTTTTTCCGCGGGTATCTTTTCGTTTGGAGAAACTAACCTCATTAACTTTGTTAATCAAGAGTAAAAGTTTTACCGCCGTGTACCGGGTTACATTATCCTGTGCGAACATTCTTCTCGCGCAACGCGTTGGGTTGTGCGAAAAACAATATAGTTTAACATTATGGATGACTCCTACGACCGATAACGAATTTTCAATTTCAATCTCCAATTTAGTAAATTTCCGTTTACATTTAAACGGCAATTTTTACAACGATAGGACTTGTTCACCAATCTAATATTTAGGTACGGTATCCATTAAACGGGACGGAACACGATCGTTTTAATGACGGACCAATATGACGTTTTAAACCGAAGAGTCAGACGAAGCTGCGAAGGAATTGCGTTTGCCGGATATTAATTTCGAAAACGTATTATGAATCTTTGGGTTCATTATACATTGGAATTTTTTTTTTTTAATTTTAATTCGATTTACCCTTAGTAAGCGGCAAAATATATTTTTGAACATTTTTCAAAAATACGGTAAAAATAATTAAATTTATATTTCCAACATATCCTACTAAAAAGAACATAAATAATTATAATTTGTTTTCAAACGTGAAATTCGTCAAAGATAATCCCTATAATTTTGTCTGACTTTTAGGCCTCGATCGATTAGAAATACACACCAGGGTGGACCAAAAAACTTTATTTCGTTCACACGTAATGTAGATAAATACATAAATCATCAGCTGCAAAAATTATCTTTGATTTTTTTTTTTTTTTATGTTATCTTTTGCGTTCACCTTAAACATTTACGTCACCGAACCTTTTAAAATCCACTAAAATACGTTGTATATTATGATATTATTTTTTTTTTCTTTACGATAAAATGGTTATGATAATTTTTCGTCGCGCGACCACCGCGTTGGAAAACTCGGATTTTTACAGTCGATGTATTATTTCAACTTTAATGAATATTGTGCTTCAACCGTGAATTTCGAACAAAACGAACGAAAACGTTTTTTTTTTTCGCTCGCGTTAAAATTAATTAAAACCAATTTCGCGGGCGCGGATGTCGAGGATATAGGTACTTATATTACACGTTTTTGGATTTAATTTTTTTTTTTATAAATTAAAACGTTGAACGTATACGACGTATGCATTTTTTTAAGCTTTTGTTATGTTGTTTGCGAAAAACAACATAATATACTTACATGTATGTGTATAAATTTCGTATTAACTTTTGTATTGTTCATGTTATATTTTATTGAAAACGCGCGGCCGAATTATTATTATAAATTATTTTTCGTTATATTATATGTGCACAATATTGTTGAACATGTTTATGCACAGACTTCGTATGACGCGCGTCCGCCGCCGACGTATACCTACGCCTCTATCACTATACATGTTAATTACGATGTACAACTAATAGCGAAGTGTAAATAATAAAACTACACGTATATTTTGATCAAGTAAACGAACGGCAATACGTGCAAATATGTATATTATTTTTTTTTCCTTTACAAAATACAATGCAAGTTTTGAATATTGTTTAAAGTCGTCGTAATTTACCCCGCGAAAATGTGCATTCAGATTGATTAACGCTTGTGACGGGGTAAACGAGTTATTTCATAATACACGTAACGTAGAGACAATAATTACCGCCATTTCAAGTCTCGATCTAAAACTTCCCGTCGGTATAAATCAAACCGCTAACAAGTTCGCTCGACATTTGATTTACAATAGAATTTTACGTTCTTGGGAAGCCGAGATGTGTATCGGATTTACAGTTAATTAGTATACGTATACACTATACGGGGCCAGCCGGAAGGCGGTGCGAGCTGCGCACTCGCACAGTGCTCCGCACTTTTAGAGTCACTGCGACGCCGCGCCTATTCGCAATCATAATTAGATGTATTAAATTTACGTGGTCATTTAGGATAACAGGAAGAAAAATTAACGAATTGAGGCTCCGTAAAAACGACTGCACAAGGCCCCGATATTTTCTAAGCCGGTCCTGATACTATAACAGGCGTATATACCAGCTAAATACTAACGTATTGTACAACCAATGGTTTTACTATGTGACGCGGTTTTTTTTCTGACTGTATAAATACGTTTTCTACCAGAAATCTCGCCCCGGTCGAAAACTTTAGAAACATTTTCGCGTAGCGTTTTAAATTTAGATTGTGCAACGACGAAGGCGTTTTTTTCATTCGTCTTGTATTTTTCTTTACAAATGACAAGTGTTTAACTTTGGATAATATTCGTCGATTTCTGAGTTGCCATCCCAACAAGGCCAAAATACAGTTAATAATATTCTGCACAGAACCGCTTTTCGTTAACAACGGTTTATATATAAAATATACTCTATGTATCTTCCCTTCAAATTTTCTTTCTAAATCAGTGGCACTCCCATCACCGAACTTCTTATACAGAAACCTAACTGGTAAAACTTTATAATATTATGTCCTTTGTAGTTAGAAATCGCGAAGTCTTTTAAATAATGTTTGTAAAGGACATATTCTTACTGAGAGACTTTGCTGTATTTCCAGAGTTTTAAGTGCGCTGTCTGTACTGTAGTCACCCCGTACAATTAAACCGTATTGCAAAATTGATTTGTACAAAACATTTTAATATAATACAGATACACAGTGCATCGTGCATGCAATTAGTTCTTTAGGTAAAATTTAGCTTCTGCCTACAATGTGAAAGTAACGAACCTTAAACGCATAACCGAAAAAACAAATTTAATTGGATTAAATTAAATACCGGCTTAGATAGTAACCTCCGCAGGCCGTTGTTGTCGCAGTTGCCGTTGTTTTATACGATAAGTTTTTTTTTTTTTTTTTTTAAAGAGCAAAATTCTATTATCCTTTACTGCGGCTGCTATTCACGAAATACAATAATTTCGCCATAGACCTGTTTTTTTTTTCTACGATAACGGTTTAAAACATAATACCACCGCGTAGTTGCAGATGGGACGCCGATAAACGCGTGAAAAAACAAAACGTGATTTAGTGCGGTCGCACGACATAAACGATATTAAAAAATTGGTAGAAAAAAAAAAATGGCAATCGGTACCTAATACCTATATTATAATATACATATATTTTACATTTTCGTGTGTACCTATGCAATCGGTCTACCTGGAAAACCGTCGTCGATGAAAGAACACGGTGCAGTGCAATTACTAAGTTAAAACGTTTGCGGTAAACTCGTCGTCGTCGCTTCATGCGGTGACGAAATAAAAGCGTTAGGAAAAAATAAAAATATAATATACGAACAGAATATCGTGAAAATGGACGTAATCGTGGGGCAATCGTCTTGGTTTCGTTTATCTCGGAGCGAGTCAGTTGTATTATAGTATAGATCAGTGTTCCTCAACTATTTATTCTATCTTCACACTTCACACTTGTAAATTTTCAAAAATGTCATGCCTCTCCCTGTTCATTACAAATATGAGATAAATTGTCTTTAATTTTAATATGGTAAATTTGCACATTTTATATTTTATTCTAACGATTTCACCACCGTTATATTACGCAGTATCTAAATTCCTTCCCAGGGAGGATTTCCTCCCACCCCCACGGGAAACACCGATATAGATGACTGTATAGTGTTATAAAAAATCCTTTATAATATAATAGTAATAGATAATATTGTTGCAATCGAAAAACGATTATTAGCAGAGCGAAATTCGGATGACTGTTATCAGTACTACAAGGAGTACTACTTAAAAACAATTACTAGTTTTTTACACTTTTATACGTATATACAGATGTATATCTATTTTTATGGAGCCATGGATTGGTGTAAATGGGAGAGATTCATTTCGACAAGAACGGGTTAGGTTAGGTTGGTGAAAAAAATTAAAAGTTTATTTTGATGAAAACTGGCATTGCCGGGATACATAGGATAATTTAGTTTATATATACGGCGAATAACGGTTTGAGCGAAAAATCTGTATAATGTCGTTTAACTTTCCGCGAAACCCTTACAGAGTTTAGGGGGAGGGAACACAACTCAGCAGTAGTGGAAATATTTCGGTGAAGGTAAGTCACTCCAAGCATCCCTTCACATTATAATTGTATCTAATTTACACAATCTTTCAACAGACTGCAATATTCTTGTACCTCGATGTACGTTTGTACGTTTATACGGTTAGTTGCGCTCACAGGTAGATGACTAAAAAAAGAAAAAACGACGGCGATTCCGACCAAAGTCGCGGCGTTTGCAAACGGGTCTAAAAGTCCGTTAGAAGGGTCAGTTTATTTACACAACCGCGCGTATCTCATTTTTATTAAAATCCATACAGCCGTGTCCGTTGAACACACATTTAGAAAATACGTAGATTAAAAATAAAAATAGACCAAAAAATAAACCATATTCTATAGTTTTTTTTTTTATATATATAAAAGTTTTTGTTTCGCGACTCGAGGGCTTATCGCGGAACAATAATCACGTAGACAGTCGCCTTTCGCGGCGGGTGGTCTTCGTTGCATCGACGACACTCTTTTCAGACATTGGCATTCGGTTTGGCTCGCGTTTTAAATTCAGTATATAATTATGATCAAAACCCGTTCGAACGACGATAGACTCACAATGTTTACAATCTTGTCACTCGTGCTGCAATGGCGGGATATTCAATTTGATAACATATCAATATTGTTACCACCAAAGGCGGTCGAATCAATTGAATTTAACAACACGGTCGAGACGAGTAAAAGCTAAAAAGAGATTTTAAAATTTTACCAAAGCACTAGTATTATAGTAAAACCAATGCACATTCCCCGCTGCTGTCACAATAATAATAATAAAAAAAAAACTCTAGATCTTATCTAGACTGGAACGTCGCGAAATACAATAATATAACCGAATATTATGTTTATTGTCTACGGAATTAATATAGGAATGGAACGTATTCCGGTCCAGTTATTTATTCATTCTATCATTGAAATTATTACGTACATGCAATTATACCGGAGAAATAATTATGAAACATGCTTAATCTCGGGACAATACAAATCCGCGAGTATAATTTCAAAACGATTCAAGAATTTTAATATGAGATTTGAATGAGTTTTTTTTTGGTTTTGCTTATAATTAAGTCCTGAACTCTGGTTA